GGCTGCGGCCGCACGCACCCGCTCTCCAGGAGGCGCCCCGCGGCCGCTCGGCGGGCGGGAGCGCAGGGCACCCGGACTCGCCGGCTGAGTGTCCCGAGAAGCGCGCCGGCGGTAACGGGGACCCGCGGCGACTCGCTGCGCGCTGTGCAAGTTGCTGGCGAGCCGGCCGGGCCGTCCCGGGCGCGTTTGTGCCTCCCGCGGGCCGCGACTCCGCGAGGACCTGGGCTCTCTGCTCCCGTGGGCTGTGCCTTCGGCGCGCGGAGACTTTGACTTTTCTGCGTGCGCAGAGAGCGAGCGAGAGAGCGAGACCGAAGCTGCAGCAAAGTGTTGAAAGCTTCCAGTGGGGGAGGGAGGGAAAACAGAGCAGGCAAATGGCAGAAGGGCAGAGGGAGTCTTCTAAAATAGACCCTGTCAACACGAGATTACACCCGTAACCCTGTCGATGAGGACAGAGAACTCGTTCAAAAAAAGAAAAAAAAAAAATACTGTACTGGCTGAAGGTGCCAGAGTCCAGGTGATTCCAAAGAACGTAAGCTTTGGGAACTTGACGGGGCTGCAGGTTTGTGGGGAGTTAGCAAGTGGAAGGGCTTAAGGGGTCTCTGGGCCCTGTAAAACCCGGTGAAACTGTGTTCACTTATATATTTTGTTTTCCTGGTGAGAGAATTACAGTTCTCATCTGACTATCAAAGATCAGCGGACCCCACCTCACCCCCACCCCCCCCCCCAAAATAAAAGTTTAGAGAGCTGGAACTAAAGAAAGGACTTGTCCCCAGGTTGGGGTAACCATAGTTTTTATGTTGAGCGCACCCTGACCCGTCTACCTCTTGTAGAAGGAAGGTCTGGTCCTTAACTCTGTCCTCTCCTGGCCCGGGAGCTGCACAACAGTGTCCATTCTTGAGCTGCCCTTGTGGCACCAGGGTAAGGATAGGACAGATGGCCCGTCTTGAGTCCCTCCCATCTGGGGAAAAGCATCTCAAAGGGAGAGTCCCATGAATGTTATGCTAATAGGGTGCTTAATTTCCCCGTTCCTTAGAAATCCTTCAAAAGCACAGGCAACTCGGAGCGATTTCCTTCAGGCAGTCAGCATTTGCAGCAATTGTGTGGAAAGGAATGGGTAGTAGTAGATAAGGCTATTTAAAATGAGTCTTTGGAACATCAAGGAAAAGAGAGGATTTTGCATTTGGTGAAGGGGAGGTCTGGGAGGTTCTGTTAAGAGAGGGACAGACAGCTGTGTTTTTGTTTTTTTTTTTTTTTTTTTTTTACAGGAAATAGGTAAGTTAGAAAAGGGACGCCAAGTGTAGCCTGGGCTTGCATCTCTCCACTCCCAGTGCTCTGAATGATCCAGTTCCTGGTGAACTGTGGAGGCATACTGGTCATTTGGTGTCCTGTGAAGTGGAAAATTAAGATCCCACCCCCAGAATAATTCCTGAGTACTTCTCTGCTAAATCTTATCTTGCAACTGTTGCCAGGAAAACTCCGATAGTTTTGCAGTGAGCTTAAGTTTTCAGCTTTCATTATTGCTTGTGTGACTCCTTGATTTATAAGTTGTATCTCAATACTCAGACACTGGTATTTTAAAAGTAAGTGTTTGGATTTAGGTATGGTGTTTGGGGGATTGGGTAATTGTAAAGGTATGTGAAGTGCCTTGTAAATTGAAAATGCTGTGCAAAGCATGAGATTATGACAGCCTTCTGAGAAAGTTGAATGCAGTTCATTCTAATGCATATTTGCAATCAAATATCCATGTCAGGGTTCTCTGCTTACAGAGTAAATTCCTTAGTCATTTACAAGAACCAAATAACCTCTATGAGCTTTGAATGCTATTGGTTCCCAATAAAAATTAGATCACGATAATCTCAAATGCAAACAACAGGAATCATATTTCATAAAATCTGGTTCCTCAAGCTAACATTAAATGTGAAGAGTGGTGCTTTTTGTCACTTGTAGACACATAACATTTTGAATAAATCCAATAAGCCACATTTTAGTTGTCTTGAGAGAAAAAAAAATTACAGTTGGCTTTGGGGAACAAAGCTAAGCTACTTAAAAAAATCATTAACCTTTTTTTGGTTACTTGAGTATTGTAGCCAACAGCTTTGAATGTTGTTGTTTTAAATTTAACTTATCAATAATATAGTGTAAACAATTGGGAAGTTTGATATGTTGAAATAATTCAGTGATCCAAAATAGGGAAGATATTTTTCTTGGCAAGTTGAACTTGCCCAGGTAGTTAAATATGTTTTTCCTTTGAAAACACTGGATTTTATGTATAAGCCTTTTAACTCTTTAGATTACCTTGTCATGCAATTTGCTTGCAATGCAGTGTCCAACCCATGAGCTGAGAGTTTTGTTTTTCTCTCTTTTTTTTCAGGGGGTTTGGGAAACAAGGCTTCCAGTGCCAAGGTAAGCTGCCTCAGTGGATCTCATTGTCAAGTGCATCATGACATGAACATTCCAGAAAGGAGCGGTATTTTCACTCAGAGTTTATCTGTGATCCAAAATATATGTTAGTTAGATGATATTTTTGAAAGGTGGGCTGGAAATTTGGGCCTGTAAAAAAAAATTTACGGTATTGCCTAGTAATCTGCATGTGGAACTACCTTTTTCTTACTGGGGTAGGGGGGAAAGAAACCCTTTGCTGTAATTTTTATTTTTTGCCGAGAACATTCCTGTCAGAAACTGCTGTCTTTGTGTTGTGTGGGTGGGTGTTAAGAAAAAAATGGAATCACTCTGTATGCATGTGGCATTTCTTTCTTGTTCTTCCTCTTTGTTTTTGCTCTTCCTCTCTTTTACCTATGTACCGAGTGGATTCATTGCAGCTAATGTTAGGCCATACATCATTCTAGTAAGGCTTTGTTTAGATTACCAACAGTCATCCCGAATGAAGCTGGCATGTTCTAAAGTTGTATCAATGATTTGAGACTGAGTAACTGCCATAGTATGACAGTGTGGTGCCCTTTTCCTTCAGCTTAAATATCTGGTGACGTATACAGCACACTAATGGGTCCAGAAGGAAACTCACCCGTTTACCTGTCTGATTGCAGTTGGATTTTATGTACATTAACTAGCTGGCTTCTCATGCTGTCTCCATGACTTAACTTTAAAAATGAACATTTTTTAGCTTATGAAGGCATCATAAGTTCGTGAGCTTTCTGCTCTCTCCTTCATCACCTGCATTAGGTTTCTTTAGTTCTGTTTACATTTCCCATCTGGGCATAGGCTTGTTATTAGGGCAAGTGGAAAGTACACTGCAGCCTGGAAAGTACGGTCCTAACACTGTTTAACATTTCGTGCGTTAGAGAGAAAGACACAGGCACTGTGTGTACTTTTTACAAGTTTGAAATTCTGCTAGTAGTAAGTCATTTATCTTTGAAAAACTTTTTCACAGTTGCAAACGTGTTTCTAATACAGTATGGGTAGTTGATGCAGAGCATTTTATGATATGATTATTAATACTCTATTTTTCTTCTAGAATGTGACTAAAAACCCTACTTGAAAAAAAATCTGCTTAATCATTTTTGAGAGTTACATTTGGAAACTGAGATACAGCCCTTTTAAAAAGAAGGAAAAAAGTACATTATACCAGTCTCTATAAAGGAGGAAAGGAAGATGTAACCCCTTCTAGATTTCAAAGTTGTGGGCCTAACTGTATAGTGAGATGTGGATCTAGGCTGGAACATGATTTTAAGAAGTTAAAAGATGTAAAGTTTGAAGATTCTAGGCTAATGGGATTCGTGCCTGTTACTATTTTGGTGATACTTTTGGTTTGGGTGGGGACCAGTGGAAACTTGCAAGCAAAGTATCTAGTGAATTTCTTCAAATGTTACTTGTTCAACAACAGTGAGGATGCTATTTTAAAATCACCAGTTTTCTTCATAAAATTGTAAAGTAGGCCTCGTTCCTCTTGGACTTGTTCATCTGAACAGGTTTCAGTGGTCAATTCGTAGTGGCTGCATTATTAGGCTATCAGCTTTTGTGCGGTTTCCTCTAGAGAGAATCTACTGACCTTCTGGTGGATTAGCAGGTTAGTAGTTTCACATCAACATAAATCCCTTTTAACTAAATTAAAAAAAAATGCTACTCATAAAAATTTTAACTACATAAAATAAAAAGTGAGATTATATATACTCCTTCGTCCCACCCCCTAGAGAGAAGTTCTGTTTAAGACATCTGTCATTCATTCATATATGCATACTTAGTTCTTAAAAAGAGACAAACATTTTGTCATTTTGCAGTTTGCTTTTTTCACTCAGCAGTGTATAAATTTTAATCACTGCTAAATTTTTGCTGGTATGAACACCACTATGGAGAACATCCTTGGGCACTGGTACAAGTATTTCGATAATAGATCCCTAGAAGTGTGTGGGAGTACATTTTAAATATTAATCCAAAAGACTTGCAATTTGCATTTTCAGTATTAATGTAAGAGAATGCCTATCCATTTCCTTTCACTCTTCCTAGTGAAGATATCTGATAATGTAAATATTTTACACTTTTGCCAGCCTTGCAGGTGAAAAGGGCCTCTCTCCAATTTCTGCCTCCTGGATTATTGGTGAGGTTGAACATTTTTTCAAACGTGCTTTAGCCATTTGTATTTGTTCTGTGAATTGCCTTTCTTTACCTAATATTTGCAAGTCAGGATGTATAAACCAGATAAAATAGATGAACCGTTATATGTCTTACACAGAGTTCTTTTGCTTTGGTGAAAAATTTAATATTGGGTTTCTTTAAATAATGAATTCCCTTATTGCATTTATGGATTTTAATTCATAGAAACCTTCTCATGAATCAAAATGTTAACAATTTTGTCTAGGATGTCTCCTTTGTTTTTCACATCTAGTGGGCATATGCTAATCCATTAAATAATAATAATAATAATTATTATTATTATTGTTGTCTGTTTTGAAGACAGGGCCTCTCTCTGAGTCCAGGCTGGCCTTGAACTTACTATGTATCCTAGGCTGGCCTCAAACTCATAGGATGCCTCCTGCCTCAACCTGCCAGGTGCTGGGATTACAAGCATGTGCCACCACACCCAGCCTATATTATTTTTGAAATTAAAGATATGCCATCTCAGGCTAGTGCTTTAGGTCCACTAATATAGTTACCTACTTCTCCTATTTTAGCTGTCTCCTCACAGTTGATCTTTTAACATCTGACCGTTTTACAACATTTAAGTTTTCTCTTAATGTTGTTTACATTTTTGCCTTTTGACTTGATAGCCTTCTTCAGGAGAATACAACCCATTCCCACTCCTACACTTGGCAACGCATCTCTGGAAATGGCAGCTCCCGTTGGATCCTTTTTGTACTCCTGGTACATCAGAATTTTCTTGCCTGATGAGGCAGTGTTTTATCGTGGCTAGAATGTCATGCATTGCTTTAGCCAGTAGGTAAAGCACCTGTGCAGGCAGGCCTTTTCCTTTTCTTTGAAAAAGAGAGCTGCATCTGCATTAAGTGAGAGTCACACGTTCACGGTGTAAGCAGCATAACTCGGTCTCAGGCCTTTGTCATTTTATTTAGCAAATGAGAAGAATTGGAAGCCTGAATAATAAATGAATCTCTTAAAACTGACTTTGTAATCTGTGCCATTAAGGAAACATTATATTTTATAGGCATCTGAAGCACTAAAATTATTTTCCACTTCTTCCCTTCCCCAAGAGGCAGCATAAATGGAAGCGGGAAACTTTTCTGGAGGGACGTTTATTGGGGTGTTTCCGCTTGCCCTGTATCTGGGTACAGCAGTCCAGTCCTGACAGTGGGCCTTGCCAGGGCAGCTAACACGGGCAGATGCTGTGGTGAGAGCTTCTTCCAGAAATGCTGAAGCTAAGAGCTTCGTGGGGAGAAGGGAGAGGCGGGAGCATGCGGGGGCTCCGGAAGTCACAAGGTATTTTCCCCAGGGTCCTTAAAATCTAGCATGCCCCTTGAAGCTCTATAGCGGATACGTAGCATGGATTTGCCTTTAGATTTTTACCTGATTTTTCCTGGATAGCAGCAGAGGGCTGGCCCATGCTCTTTTTTTTTCGTTTTTGGAGAAAGGAGAAGAGGAAGGAAAGTCGGCTCAGCGGCACTGACCCTGATAAAGTTGAGTTTTCTGTGAGATCTGTTTCCAGGTCAGAGTTTCTGTCTTCCACAGCTGCTTGTGGTGCGGCACGGAGTGGCCCACATCCTGCTCCCGTGGCCTTGTCCTCTGGGCCGGTGGCGCTGAAACAGTTATCTGCTACCTTCAGCCCTGGAAAAGGGGATGAGCCAACTTGATTCTTTTCCTCTTCAGGGTTAGCAGCACCTGTGCGCTTCTCTAATTACAGTGGTCGAAACAGCTTTGAAAACGTGACCTGCTTATTTGAGACGCGCAGCACTGGCACAGCTTGTTGCGTCTGCCTCACCTCCACCTACTCTTTCTTTTCTTTCTTTCTTTTTTTTTTTTCCTGTTTTGTTATCACAAATTAAAACATGCTGGTCTCCTTGGGCGTTTTGATTAAGGTCCCCCCGAGAACATCAGGGGCCCTGCCAGTAACCACGACCTGCAGGGGCTGTGGCTCTGAGTGGTCAGCGCTGGATGCAGAGGGGTCTGCAGGGAGAGATTTTGCATCTCTGTGCTCTCTGGGATGCCACTGCCAGGTGCTTCTGAATCTTCGTTTTCTTGCTGGGAGCACCCCACACACTGTGCTTTGCCTGGGACTCTAGTGGAAACTGCAGCGTCCAGTAAAATGGCTGGAAAATTGGTTGATGGCGTGTTATTTTGAAAAGCTGTTTCAGGGTAGATATTCCCCTTGGCTTACCTAAGCAGTGTAAGGCTTTCTGTTCCTTCTAGAAAAATGAAAATCAGTGTTTGAGAGAAAAAGGAGGAGTCTCTGCTCGGTTGGAGGAGTCCAAAAAATGAGACTGTGTGAGAGAGGGTGGCCTTTGAACAGAAGGAGGTAGCAGGGATCGCACGGGCCTCCCTTTTAGAAAAGAATATCCAGCGGTCCTTGTCCACCAGGTGACATGGACCCAGATGCCAGAAGATAAAAGAGACAGGGGCCAAGTGGGGCAGAAGGGTGAAGTGGCCAGCTTTATCAGAGTATTTGCTCTCCCTTTTCCCCATCCCCTGGAAGTTTTTTTTCCATGTGTGATGCATTGTGTGCTTATGTTTTAACAATGTTTGGGGGAGGCAGACCTCACCCAGTGGTACAGAAACCTGGTCATCATTATTTATGGCTCACAAAAAGACCTGACGACCTCCTAAACTCCCGGTGATTTCCAGCTGCCCACTGTTTTTCAGAGTTGGTGCTACAGGTTTTCTGTCTCCTCAGAGCAGGTGTTCACATCTTGGCATTCCATTTCTAAGAGGTTACCAACTCCCAAATTAGAAGCTCTGTTACCTGTAGGTGAACTGTCGTGGTTAAGAGCTGTTCGGAAAAG